CAATTGCCTGGAGTGGACTGCAGGTCTGTGGCTCTGCTCTGCAGAGCAGGACTGGTCAGGCTTGAGTCCTCACTCTGCATGTGTTATTTTTCAGATTTTGCAAGAACGAGGCTCAAGGATGTGAGATACAGTACTGACAGCTGAAGAAATGATATACTTTTTCCCAAGATTCAGTGAACCGCCATGTCCAGGAAGTACGTCTGTGAGAAGAAACCTGCTTTTGATCATTTCTCTAGAGATCTGGGTGTGCATCCTTTTTTGCCTCAGAGGTGGGTGGTGAGAGACGGCCCAGCTGTCTAAGGCCAGGCATCCCCACAGGGAGGAGGCACAGGGGCCAGGTGGGCTCTCTCTGGGAGCCTGCTCTGTTCTTTCCAAGTGCTGCGTGGGACTGAGGCAGGGTGCTCCCAACTAGCCTGCGCAGTCCTGAAGACCATTTGAAGGGCAGGGCCCTTGGTGCTACATTCATAGTCTGCGATAGCAGCTCAGGCCTCACCAGGAGGAAGGTGCAGCAGCCATGTGGATTGTCCAGCGCACTGTGGCTCAGGTCCAGATGCCTGGTGGTCACTGCTTGAGCACCTGAACATCATCCTTGGGTCAGGGAAGCTGCTCTGCCTCCAGTGTGATCAGTTGACAGTTTCTCAACCTCGGCGAAGACCCCTGACAATGGTGGCCTCCGCATCATCACTACTTTCTGGGCGCCTACCCTGAGGACCGCCTCCTTCAGAGCCAGGCTCTTATTCCAGCCTCCACAGCCAGAACAGTCAAGGCTTCTTGATTTGTATTTTCCAGGCAAGAGAACTTTGTATCCCTTTTTTTAAGTATGGATAGATTACCCAATGTTTATACTCTTTAGAAATGCCTAAAAGTGTTGCTATGTTTTAGATGGATCTGTCAAATAGTTTAAAGGGAGGTAGAAGGTTTGCCTCATGGGTTCCACCTGCGGACTCATCTGGGAGCTGGTGCCCACCAGTGCCTTTGTCGCACCTGGGATGGAGGCTGGGCGGAGGCGTGTCCCCTGGCTTCTGGAGCTGACACTCCGAGTCACGTTGAAGATTCGGGATGTTTACAGTGCATCATGTGTCTCTTCCTCTCTGGCTCTGTTATCTCTGTATAACTATGCAGTTCTTCTTTCTAATACTCCTGGAGCATTTGAGACTTGACACAACCTACATGACCCAGCCAGTGTGCCATCAAGGCTGCTGGGGTTGCTGTAGAGGCTGCCCCCTGCAGGCTCTGAGACTCTTCAGTGGGGGCTGGGGGCCTGACCCCAGTGAGCAAGCTCTGCCTCTTGATCTCTGCTTGCCAGGAGAGCTGTGCAGACTGACCATTGGAGTTGCCTGTGTGAGGTCAGAGGCTCTGACACTGTCTAATGTCAATGCTTCCAGAAACTTCTTGCCTAGGTCCTCTTTTTTTTCTTCTTTGCCAATAACCTGATTAACTAAGTTCTCCAGCATCTAGGATTTACCTCCTCCTTTCGTAAGGCCTCTTGTATGTTGTTAAAGGTTCAGCTTAAACAATTTATAAAAACCTTTCTATAGGGCAGATTTAGCCACTGGCTGACCCGGTCCTCCCCAGCAGAGCTCCAAGGGAAGGTGTCCTTGTTGTGTTGGCCCTGGGGAGCTGCTGGGTGCTTAGCATTTTTTGATTTTGACATTGACATAATAGATAGGCTTGTGGGTTGTTTTGTTTTTGTTTTTTAATTTAAAAATATTAAGACTTAATTCACTAAAATTTATTCTAAGGGGATATTTATACTTTTGTACTTTTTTAGGTATCCGTATTTTATCAGCTTACCATTTAATGCCTAAGTTTCCCCTGAAAATAGCAAATAAAATTGTGTATTTATGAATGAGCCCAGCAACTGCTAGTGTCTTCAAATGCATGCAAAGCTACTGCCGGGAGCGCCACACTGCTCACCCAAGGGCCCCGCCCTCTCAGACATATAGCTCCCACTTGAGCAAGGGCCCCACCCCCAGTGTCCCCTAGAGGGTGTGACTCCCTGCTATTGATCAGACTCTCTGCCACCTGAACTTCTGTCTTGTCCCTCCTGTTTCCAGGTGTGCAGCTCCTCTTTCAACTGGTGGTCTAACCCAACCCAGGGCTCTGTTGGGGGCTGTTGTGTTTATCCAAGTTAGGATGGAGGGTGGGGGTCACCCATGTGGGGCCAAGAGTTCAGGCTTTCAGGTGTCTGGATACAGCCTGGGGCACATGGAAAGGAGTCCAGGTGTAGCTCGAGGTCTTCCTGATGGCAGCCAGGACCTGGACGTGCTGAGGCACTTCAGCTGGGAAAGGCCAAGAGCACTTGGGAAGGGCTTCAGCATGGCAGGTGTTCCTTCTGAACAGAAGACTAAGTAGGAGACAGCTCTACAGTCTACTGGGTCAGCTGGGCAGGGAGGGAGCCCCATCCCGCTCAGTGTGAGCTTTCTTGTCACCGTGACAAAACAACTTGAAGGGGCTGGGGTTGTGGCTCAGTGGTAGAGTGCTTGCTGAGCATGTGTAAGGCACTGGGTTCGATTCTCAGCACCGCATATAAACAAATGAATAAAATAAAGGTCCATCATCAACTAAAATAATATTTAAAAAAAAAAAAACTTGGAGGAGGACAGGTTTATTTATTCTGGCTTAGTTTCTGAGGTTCCAGTAGGTGGTCGCTTGGCTCTGTGGGCTTGGGTCTGTGGCAAGGCGGGATGTGGAGGGGAGGATATGGTGGAGTGGAGCTGCTGACCTCGTGGCAGCCAGGAAGGAGCTGGTGATGAGTACCCCTCCTGCAGTCCCCCACCCCCTGCAGTTCATTCAGTTATGAACCCATCAATGGATTAATCCATTGATCAGCCCACTCATGATCCAGTCACTTCCCTAGATCCCCACCTCTGAACACTGGGCGCCAAGCCTCCAGCACATGGACCTCTGGGGCGTCCCAGATCTGAAGTACAGTGGTAGGCACAGCCCCCCACCATGGAGGGGGTCCCTGGAGCACCACTTGGGCATTGTGAGGGTTGTCAGCCCTGGTGGCTCCAGGAAGCAGGTAGGGGACAGAAGAGGCTTGGGGCTGCCACGAGGTCAGCAGCTCCGCTCCACCACACCCTCCCCTCCACATCCCACCTTGCCACAGATCCAAGTGACCACCTACTGGAACCTCTGAAACTGAGCCAGAATAAACCTGTCCTCCTCCAAGTTTTTTGTTGTTTTTTTTTTTTTTTTTTTAATTTTTTATTGTTGGTTGTTCAAAACATTACAAATTTCTTGATATATCATATTTCATACTTTGATTCAAGTGGGTTATGAACTCCCATTTTTACCCCATACACAGATTGCAGAATCACATCAGTTACACATCCATTGATTTACATATTGCCATACTAGTGTCTGTTGTGTTCTGCTGCCTTTCCTATCCTCTACTATCCCCCCTCCCCTCCCCTCCCCTCCCCTCTTCTCTCTCTACCCCCTCTACTGTCATTCATTTCTCCCCCTTGTATTATTTTTCCCTTTCCCCTCACTTCCTCTTGTATGTACTTTTGTATAACCCTGAGGGTCTCCTTCCATTGTTTTTTGTTTTTTAAATATTATTTTATTGGACCCCCAAGTGGGTCCCCAGCTGCTGGGCATTCTGCAGAGGCCATGCCTTTACTGTCCAGGGCACCACATGGGGGCAGGAGCCACACCTCTGGTTGGCTGGTGCCTGAGCCCAGCCCAGGAGATGGAGAGCTGATCCCCCTAGTGCTGGCACTGGGGGTGAAAGCCCTTCAGTCTTGGCACCATCCATCCATGAGTGGGAATAGCACTGCCTTGATCCCTTTGGACAGACTGAGCTTTCTGAGGAAAGTAGTGTTGATACTAGGAGCAGGGGTGTCCCTGGCTTTGGGGCTCTCCCTCTGCCACACTCCTACCTGTCCTACATTCTGAACACCTAAGTTGGATGGTGGCATTGGGCAGGGCCACTTGGCCCTCAGGTCTTCTGCTCCCACACATGCTTCTGGGCCCCGGGTTGATGGGGCAAGAAGGGTCCCCTCCCAGCCCTTTTTCTCCTGGGTTTCCACAGGCCGATCGTGGTGCCTGCGCATGTGTGCCATGTATGTCTTCGTGGATGGTACTGTGATTATGGCAGCGGATGCTCTAGTGTCACCTGCTCTGAGCACCAGTGTGGAAGGTTCCCTCCCTAGCCCTCTGCCTGGCTGTGCCAGCCGCTCCCTGCAGCTGGTGCCCTGGTGCCACCCACCTGGCAGATCACTGGAGACTGCCTGGTGGCTATGTGGAAAATTCCATCTGAGCCCCCCCCACACCCAGCATGCAGAAGAGCTTGCAGCAACCTGGGGTGTTTCCCCTCCATCCTTACACACTGAGCTTAGTGTGAGCTGTGACTTGCACAAAATAAACCTATTTCCCTTTTCAAGCCCTGGGCTCCAGGGTCTCTTGTGTTCCATGATGTCTGTCTGTGTAATGTCTTCCCTAGGCTTGGCCCAGCCCAGCCACATGTCCTGGGGAAGCTGGGACAGAGGCTCCAGGTGTATAGGTGGGACATGTCACCGCACCTCCTCCAGCCTCCCATAACCCCACCCCAGGGTAGGCTCCTTAAAACCCACAGTGGTTGCAGGTGCACTTCGAGGTGGGCCCCAAGCCAACACCTGTCAGCCAGGATGCCCAGAGCTTATTCCTGGGCTATCTCAGGAACTGCCCCCCAACCTGGGCTCCAGGGCAACTACTCCCCTCATAGGACAGAAGAGCAGCCCCTCCTGGACAAGACACCCACCCTGGTCTGGAGCAGGAGCTCAGCACATGATCTATCCACAGAGGCCACCAAGTGGCCCAGGGGACTCCTGGTGGTGGTCCCTACTGTGCTCCTGTGGTCTACAGCACTTGTGCCAAGCAGCCACTTCCACAGATAGCAGTGCCTGCAGCTCAGCACCACGTGGGGCAAGCAGCTGTGTGTGGCCATCAATGCACACATGTAGGTGTGTCCAACCCCTCTGCTTCAGACTCCCCAGTGTAGAAAAGGGAGGACATGGGGTGAATGTCCCTGGAGGAAGCTGTGGGGCTGGACTGCGCAGGGCCTGGGCACTCCCCAAGGCAACAGCTAACACTGCTTAGAGAAGCCTCCAGTGGAGCGGGGAAGGTGCCTGGGGAAGGAGGCTGTAGTTCCCCAGTGTGGTCCTGCCTCCTCCTCAGCTCCCCACCCCACCCTGGGCAGGGTTCCTGCAGAGGCACTGGCTGGCTTGTAACCCAACTTTCTACGTGTGTTGGTCGCTGTCCATGTTCCCAGCATGGGGCAGCTCTTGGCAGATACTCAGGTGGGGAAACTGAAGCACGTGGTGACAGCAAAGCAGCCTCCTGTGAGGAGGTCTGGGACAGCATCACAGGACAGAACAGTCCTGGGACCCAGTGGCATCCTAGCCTGGTATGCCTCCCATGGTTCCACCCGCCAGGGACCAAACCCTCCAAATCTTCCCCCCCCAACTCAGCTCCTCAGCCCCAGACCTCCAAAGGTCCCAACCTGAGGGGCACTATTTTTATTGGAAGTGAATATAAATAAAAGTGACAGGTGTTTGGGGGAGGGGAGGATGGAAGGCTATTTACAAATGTACACCCTGGGTGGGGCTTTACTTGGTCCCAGCCTGGGAGGGCTCAGAGGAAGGCAGGCAGCACCAGGAAGGCCAGCAGCACCATGTGGGCAGCCAGGCAGGGTGCTGAGTTCTGACCAAGGCGCTGCTGGCCTTGGGGGTCTCGATGCTGGCCACCCTCCCTCCCTGACTGGAACTGCAGCTCAGGGATGATCCCCTGGATCCAGTTGTGGTGGGAAGTGACCCGGATGTAGACACCTGGGCGGTTCCGGCGTGCACAGCCCTCGCCCCAGCTGATCACCCCAGCCTGCACCCATGACTGGTCCACAAGGCACACCAGGGGGCCCCCTGAATCACCCTACAAAGGAATCATAAGCCCCATTAGAGCCCAGGGCCAGCCTCTGGGGGTAAACTTGCACTTATTGCTAGTCCCTTCCGGGGAGCCTCCTGCCTCGCCCCCATCTGCTGGTCCCACCTCTGTGGACGAGGGTGTTCCAGTCAACGGCATGTTCACCCCTGGTGGGGGGAGTTAGAAATGCAGCTTCCTGGGCCTGCCCAGACCCTAGGACCACTCCCAGGCTGGGGATGATGGGCACACAGCCCACCTTAGCCGGGGTACAGGTCAGGGCTGAGTCACCAGCTCGCCACACTGCCCCTACCTTACAGGCATCCTTCTTGCCCTCTGCGAAGCCTGCACAGAGCATGTCATCCTGGATGGTTCTGGGCTGAAAGCCAGACTCAGCATCTTTGCTGTAGAGCAGGTTGCACTTGGGCGTATCAATAATGGGCACTGCAAGCTTCTGAAGGATCCTCGGATTGGGCAGGCGGTCTGGGGAGGGTCATGGCAGTCTGTGCTCAGTGGGCAGTCCAGCCAGAACCTCATGGTCCTGGGTTCTTGAGACCCACAGCTGCCTGTCCCTCCCCAAGTTTCCTTTGTGTTTAGACCTTCTTTTCTGCTACAGGGCTTTGTAAAACTGCATTCCTCTTCCTTTCTTCCCCACACCAGACTGGGCTTCCTGTCTCTGTGGCTCCTGGAATGGCTGCTCCATTCCTAGCCCCACCCCATTTGTTTCAGCACAGGAGATATATATATATACACACACACACACACACACACCAATATCAACAGAAAATGGTTGTTGGTTCTGGACCTTCTCCAACACATCCCCCTTTATCCCCTGGCTCTGCCCCTTACCTTGCTCACTGGGACTGCCCCAGCCAGTGACCCAGCAGTTCATGTCCTTCTCAAAGACAACTGAGGGATCAGGCACACACACAGGGAGGATGTAGTTGGTGAAGGCCACAGGTGCCTCTAGCTCCACCAGGGCCACATCAGCACTGGAGGCCATGCCCTGATACAGGGGGTTGCTCTCCACCCGCCTCACATGGGCATACATGGCACGTGGCCCTGGCTGCAGCAGCTGCCGTGCCCCCAGCAGGACTCGGTACAGAGATGTTTCTGAGGTGCTGGTGGAAAAGAGCATAGAGCTGGTGTGAGCCTCCCTGCCAGGCAGCAGGGAACTGGGGGAGGGCATCTGGCTCACCACAGTGCCTGACATCTCTACACATTGTCTCCCAAAGTGTCATCTCTAGAGCTGCCCAGCAAGTGAGGGGGCGCAGAAGCTGAAGTTCTGTCCCTGGTACCAGGTGACTTAACAAATTCTCTAACTCAGTTTCCTCATTTGTAAGCTGGGGACTGGAAGGCCTGTTGTTTGAAGGAGATGACAATCCCCAGGTAACGCAGGGCCCAGCCCTGCCTGTGTGCCTTGGGCAGGCTGTGTGGTCTCTGAGGGTGAGTTTCTGAGTGTAGGATATGGCAGTCTGAAGAACCACAGGGCTTCAGTGAGGTGGGGGGTGAGGCACTTGGGAAGCCCCAGGGGCTGGGACTGGGTGGGGTGGGGATCTGGCCCCCTACCCAGGTACTATGTAGGTGGCCATAGAAGGATGAAGAAGATAGGGTATGCTCTTCAGAACTCTGGCTTGTCTGATACCAGAGAGAGGTGGATTGAGGTGGGTCAGGACCCCAGGTGCGCAGAGCCTTGGTGGAAAGCCAGCTGATGGGAGCAAGGGCTGGGGTCAGGGATTGCAGCTGGGAGTTAGGTCTGGCTTGACCTAAAGGAAACTCCTAGCTGGGAGGGGATTGCTGGACAGGCAGCAAGGCAGCAGCCCACAGGCCTGCAGTGGCCCAGCGCTGTCCCTGGTGCTGAACTGGCTTACTCTGGTCATTTGGGGGGACAGGGCAGGTGGAGGCCCACTCACTTGGAGAAGCAGTGTGCTGCGGTGAGGACCCACCGTTCTGTGATGAGGCTGCCTCCACAGAAGTGGCTCCCATTGCGCTGGATACTGACCTGCCAAGGCCACTCGCCATCCATGGCATCCTGCCCGCCCACCATCCGGTTCAGCATCCTGGGGCGCCCACAGGCTGGGGGAACAGGGGATGCTCCCTGGGGGCTGGTTCCATGGCTCTGATTCCAGCCCCAGTACCACACACCAACTTCTACTCTGCTCAATTCCTGGTCTTCCTGGCCCCTGACCTGCTCAGGGACCTTGGGAAGTCAGAAGCCCAGAGCATTGATTGGAGTTTGATATAGGAAGATTCCCCCAGCCCTGACCACCATTATTCTCAGGCCCTCACTGTGACCTGCCCTGGGACTTTTAAAACCTGGTTTCCAAGTCTTGTCCAGATCTGCTTCATGCTCTGTGTTCTTGAATGGTCATGAGGGTTGAGCTATCCAAGGCCTGATGCAGCTCATGGAAGTATGGAAGCCAGGCATTGTCCTTCACAGGTAGGTGGCCCTGAGGGACAGGCTTGGTGCAGTGAGACAAGCCTCAGGTCTGTGCTGACCCTTTCCCTGACCCTGTGCAGTGCTTCGTGCTGCTGCTCCTACCATGTCCTGACTTGCTGGGTGTGTGGTAGACCTTCTTCCTTCATTCCTTTCTGGGCTCCAGTTCTGATGAGCCTCTGCCAGATGTCCTGTGCATTCCTCTGGGTCTTTCTTATTTATTTATGTATTTAGTAGTGAGGATTGAACCCAGGGGCTCTCTACTGCAGAGTTACATCTCCAGCCATTTTACTTTTTCATTCTTTATTTTAAGTTGCCAAGGTTTGCATTGGACCTAGGATCCTCCTGCCTTAGCCTCCTGAGTTGCTGGAATTACAGGCATGCGCCTCCCTACCCTAAGCTTCCTTCTGGGGCTCCTTGCGTGTGATGTGGGGGATGGTGGTAGTGGTGGTGGTGGTGTGTGTGTGTGTGTGTGTGTGTGTGTGTATGGTGGGTGGGTGTTCTGGCCCATCCTGCAGCTCTCAGTCACGCCTGCTTACCTCTTAGAGCCTTGGCCCCCTGAGTTCCTGAAAGTGAACAAAAGGGATTGTCAGCCAACTTTGCCTGTGCCCAGGTCTGTCCTCCCTTCACTCACCTGCACTCCCTCCCCTCAGGATAGCCATAGAGATCCAGAAGGAGAGAGCAGGAACCTTCAGCCGCTCCAGGTCTGGCCTGTGGGCAGAGCTTATCTGCAAGGGCAGCAAACTACTGGCCACATGGCAGGCCAACCAGGAGAGGCCAGTGTGGTGACCCCGTGACTCGACTTCCCCTACTTGGAGCAGGATGACTCCTTTCTTGTCCCTTCAGGACTCTCTCCCTCCATGGCCCACCTCTATCCAGGTCTGGAAGCTTTGAGGTTAGGGAGTAGAACTCCAGCCCTGGTGCGTGGGGTCTTGCCTTTCCCTTAAAGCCGCAAGGAGCTGGGGAGTGAGGATGCTCCGGAGCCACCTCTGCACGTGGGCAGCCTGGGCTTTGTAAAGCCTGGTTTCCAAGTCTTGTCCAGGTCTGCTTCATGCTCTGTGTTCTTGAATAGAATACCAGCCCTGCAGCCACATGGGGCAGCCTCCTGAGACTCCAGATTCCCAGGGGCTGCTCCCAGGCCAAGAACCCTTGCTTCAAGGGACTGACAGAAAAGTGGAAGACAGCACCTGACCCTCTGCCCCTCCTGAGGCCTGAGGATTCACTTTTCAAATGCTGCTCCAGCCAACCACCCTCTGTCCACATTGGCATGAACATACTGGATGACCCTTTCTCTCCCTCCAGGAACTTGGAAGAGCCTCTTCTCTCCCAGTTCTCTGCCTGAGTCCCCACAACAGGCCCTCCTCACCATCAGACCCACTCTCCCTGCTGCAGCTCTGCTGCTCCCAGTGGGCCCCAGTCCAGATGGAGGCCCCAGCACTGCCTCCTCTGGGAAGCCCTCCTCCCTTGCACTGTCAGTCTCAGAAGCCTTGCTGGTTCCCAAGCTCTCTGTCCCACCTGGAATCTCATCTTATACACAGACCCGGGAGCTCAAGACAAAGCCATGCTTAGGGGCCTGAGCTCAGGGAATGTGTGGAGGGACAGAATGGTGGTGAGGGTTGCTGACCCAGAGAGCTGAGCTCTTCAGGGCCTGTCAGGGGCCAGCAGCATGGCCACGGATCAGCCCCCAGGCCCAGGGCTTCTGAAGCTCCTGTAGCTGGTGGAACCAGATGAGGCCTAAGCTACTAGGAGGGACCCCCTTGACCCAGCCTCCAAACTGCAGGCCGTTGTTTCCACTTTGGCAGTGACCTCGATTGCCCAACAGGCTGAAGCAACCACAGCGTCACACCTCTGTGGAAATGAACTCTCAAAAGAATGGTGTTATCCTGCTGTTACCTAAGGCCAGGAGTGGGAGGCCAGCCAGTGAGGCTGGGGGAGGTTAGCACAGCCCAGTAGAGGTGCCCACCTGGTGCCCTCCTACCCCTGGGGACAGGAATCCTAAAGCCCTGGCTAGGCTATGGTCTGAGTGACCTGGCCTGCCCTGGGAGGTGATCTGAGGACAGGGAAGTATGGTGGCTGCTGGGCTGGCCCAGCTGGCCTAAGAATGTGGGAGAGTTTCCCTGGTAGAGAGCGGCCCGCCCTGCAGGGAGAGGCCTGGCAGATGGGGGCCCTGGCTGGAACCTGCTGACCACAGCCTAGGATTGGCAATGCACTGCCTGATCCTCTGTGGGCATGAGGGTGGGACCCTCTGCAACCTGTCCTCATCCCCCAGCTCTCTGCTGAGCCCCCAATCAGCCTCCGTGGGCTCCAGGCTCAGGTGGCAACTCCAGCTTAGTCCTTTTCCCCAACCTAGTTGACAATGGCCTAGGGATTTGGAGCCCACCTGACCTAACTTCAACTCCTGCACAAATGAAGTCTTTCTCTGGGGAAGTGGGGAGAGTCCACTGTGAGAGGAAGCAGGGAGCCCATGCCCAGTGCCTGGCACACTGTGAGTGCCTGAGGAAGGTGGAGGGGTGCCCTTGCCAGACTGCAGCTTTGGGGTCCTCTCAGATCTGCACCCACAGCCCCCATCTTGCCTTCCCCACTTCATACCCACCCAGGTGGAACATCTGGAACCTTCCTACCTGCCCTGGGGGCCCAACCATTGGGTCGGGAAGAGGAGGCCCATCCTGTAGCTTTAGGCAGGCCTTGGGAGCTGGGGGCTCAGTTGGAGCTCCAGGCAGGGCAGAGGGTTCCTGGGGTTGGGGGGCAGGAGGGGCAGACAGATCTGACCTAACCCAGGACTCACCAAGCCACAGCAGCAACAGCAGCAGTGCAGGGGGTAGGGGCTGCCTCATGTTCTCAGCCTGGTCCAGCTGAGTGGGGGTCAGAGGTGGCAGGAGCTCCTGGCACTAGCGAGGTGCGGGGCTCCATGAAGTGGGGTTTTATGCTGTAGGTGAGTGTTGTTCCTGCTATGCCACCCAACCTGTCAGCCCAGCCCATCCAGCTCTGCTCCATCAAGTAGGAGGCGCCCCAGAACCCCGGCTCCTCACTGACCTGGTCCTGAACCCCTTGAACCCCGCAGGCCAGACCCCTCACCCCACACACCCTCTGGTGCCGGTGCCAAGATGTGCCTGTTTTTTTATGTGACTTGGGGACTTGTGCCCTGGAGTCCCCCCACCATGAGCTGATTGGCCACTCCCCAGCAGGCCCAGACCCCCCCACCCAACTGATCACAGTCTTCATCTGTGTTGGGGAAGCTCCCCCATAAGACCCTCGGTTCATTCATTCGTTCATTCAATATTCATGAGCACCTTCTGCGTGCCCAGCTTCCAAGAGGGCGGCCTTAACGCTCTCACGGAGGCGGGATCTGAGGACCGGCACTGAAGAGTTAGGCGCGGGGCGCTTGTGCAGAAAAGAAGCGCCGAGGGAAGTGGGACCACGGGTCGCAGAGCCCCGCCGGCGCGCAGCCCCGATGGAGCCCGGGCGGGCGGGGCGGAAGCCATTCCGGGAAGGCGGTGGGTGGCGGGCCGGGTGGCTGTCCCGCGCCTGCCCTGGGCGCGCCCGCCAGGTCCAGGACGCTCGGCCACGGCGGAAGACGTCCGAGAGGAAGTTTTTTGGGACACTGGACTGACGTCAGAGCAGGAGTCGGGGCCGGGGCGGACACGCCCTCCGAGTCCGCGGGTCGGTGTCGGGGTGCGGGGAGGGCCCGGGACGCCGCCCTGCCTCGGTCGCCCCCGCGTGCGGTGGGCGTGTCGCGGTGCCGTCGGCCCGGCCCGCCCCCTGGTGGCCGCCAGGCGCGGAGCTGTCCCGCCGCCGGGGCCGCCCTTTGTTTCCCTGTCCCCCGCGACCCCTGGGTCGTCCCCAGGCGCGGGCCGCCTTCCCTCCGACCCTCCTCTGTCCCTGGAGTCCGGTGTGTGAGACGCGGGGCTGCCTCCGGTAGCTGGAGGGAGGAGGAGGGAAGACTCCAGAGTCGTTCGTTCATTCATTCATTCAACACTTTGGGTGCCCAACGCTTCTAGGTATGGGGAACAGAGGTGAACAAAAGACACGCCCTGCAGCGGGGAGGAGATGGCAGGCGTCATTTACAGGAGGAAAGGGGCTAATTATCAACTGGAAAGTGTTTCAAAACCTCTGGGTGACCACACTTCTCCAGGCACTCAAGAAACAGTAGGGCTGGAGATGTGGCTCAAGCGGTAACGCTCACCTGGCATACACGGGGCGCTGGGTTCGATCCTCAGCACCACATAAAATAAAATAAAGATGTTGTGTCCACCGAAAACTAAAAAATAATTAAAAAAAAAAACAGTTTGGGACCCTTTGAGGCTAACTGCTTTCTCCTGGATGCCTTTCTTCATCCCCTCCCCTTTGAAATGAGATCTGGTGATTCAGGATGGTTTGGCCATAGACTTCAGCCAGTTTCCCAAAGCCAGTTCCTCTGAAGTCTTGCAAAAGAAGTCAGTATGCAATTAGAAAGCAAGGACACCAGGAAAGGCTGGACTCCGGAGGAATAAAATAGGGGTCTGCAATCAGACAACCAGCACCCTGGTTCCCCCTGCATGCACACACACCAGCTGCCTCACTCTGGGGCCTGTGAAACCCAAAACTGATATCAGGCAGCAGGGCAGGGCTGCAGTGAGCGAGAAGCTAGGTGTCTTCTGCACACCATCCACCAAACAAATGAAGAAGAATCCAGAATGATTTCAAATTTCTCCTAAAAATTGGAACTGGGGGAGCTGGGGTTGTGGCTCAGTGGTAGAGTATTTGCCTAGCATGTGTGAGACACTGGGTTCAATTCTCAGCACCACATATAAGTAAATAATGGTCCATCAACAAGTTTTATTTATACATACATATACATACACACACACATATATATATATAATACATATTAATATATATTATATAAAGGAAACTGTTCAGTGAAACATTGAATACAAGGGCTGGGGATATAGCTCAAGGTTTAGAGTGCTTGCCATGCATAAGCTCCCAGTACAGGAAGAAGAAGAAGAAAAGAGAAGGAGAAGAGGAGGAGGAGGAGGAGGAGGGAAACACTGGATGCAAAAGGTGAAATGGGTGAAGGACCCAGAGGAGTCACCAGGAGGAAACCAATTTGGCTAATGGACTTGCTGAGAAATGTCCAGCCTCAGTAATTAAATAAATGCAAATCAAAGCCACAGAAGGAGCTGCCAGTTATCCGTAAGGGTGTTAGCACAGAGTTGGAGGTTGGAGGAATGACATTAGTCATGGCCAGGCGGAAGTGGGTCAGCAGGTGGGCATGGAACTGGCCTTTTGTCAATCAGTGCCTCTGTGTTAAAGGAGTTATTTTCTTTGATGTGTGACTTCTTCATCCCTGGAAGTCCATCCAGTCTTAAGTACAGAAAAGGCATTTTGACCAAAGATATTCATGCCTAGTTTATTTATATTTGGAAAAACAAACCAAAACAAAAACTTGTAGGGCAACAGCAAATACATCCTCTGAATAGAATTTATAAAAATGACATTTTCAGGGTAAATATGGACAATGCTTGTGATTTATAGGAAGTTAGAAAAAGGGGGATATAAAGATTTGTAGGAAGGGTAATAACAATGAAAATTTTAAAAACTTAATAACAGCAACATTTTAAAGAAAAGGCTTGCCCAAGGTACTGCTATGACCAGTTGTCATGAACTCATGGGAATTTCTTTTGATCAGGTCTGGTGGAACTCAACAGATGCCCACAGTTGGGGGTTCCTGGACTCCCCTCAGGGGTTCCAGTTGAAGGTAAACTGCAGGATTGAGTGGTGCTAAAGGCCTCTCCCTGGAGCCTGCCTGCTGTATTCTGAGAGGGCTCCCGGAGCCAGGATGCACTGCAGCTGGAGTTTCCTCTCCAAGGAATTCCAGCTAAAAGATTAGAGCTTCTTGCTGTCCCACTCAGTGCAGACAATCCCAGGGCAGGATGTTAATGGGAGCCTGACTTCTGGCCCCATGGTTGACCCATAATGGCCTCAGGAAGGGTGTGGTAGAAGAAAGGAGGGAAGAGCTAGGTCAGTCAGATGCAGTGTCACTTTGCTCCCAGGCAAGAGTGCAAGAAAAAAGACATTTTCATGCATCATGAAAGCTCTCAAAAGCTTTCCCCATACACCCTACTCCTGGGAAGCCGCTAAAGGAAAGATGTTCTCCCAGAGGAGTAAATCAAGGAAGCAGAAGATGTAGGCTGTAGGAAACAGAGAGGGGTCAGAGAAGAGCAGTGAAGGAACCCTTACCATAGTATGAGGATAGTGCTCCAGTTTAGGCCGGCTGCTCATGAGCCTTGAGACTCCAGAGATGGGGTTGCTGCTACTGCCATCAGCACCCCCACACACACACACACAGCATCATCTTTAACCTGATGAGGCCACTGCCAGATGTGCTCCATCAGAACAAGAGATAAGCAGAGAAAGACGTGAGATCCAAGACACAGGGCATCCAAATCAGGAGAAAGGCAAGTGCACCCAAGGAAGACAGTAGTCTCTAGAGAGCCGCAGTCCAGAGGGAAGGCAAAGGGGACACAGCACAGGAAGATGCAAAACAACCAAGTCCCTCAGCCACCTGAAGTTCTGTGTTCACAACATTAATGTCACTGGCCCACTTGCTCCCACTATTGGCCTGGAATAACTTCTTCCACCCTTTCTTTTCTTTCTTTACTGTTTTCCAGATGAGGTGGTCTCCCCAGCCCCCATCAGGTCTTCTCCACTGCTGGAGTCCCTGGCCAGGCCTCGCGTAGGCTGGAGGCCAAGGGAGCCAGCTCCGCCTGCAGGTCACATGAGGCATCGAGTCAGGGGCTTAGTCACAGATGTGGTCCCAGTTGGTTCCGGTTCTCCCTGCTCTGGCTTGACATTTTCTCCATCAGCCCTCGTAGCAGCAAGTCCCTGGGCACAGTGCCCTCTCCGCCTCCCTTGCTCTCAATATGCTGCACATAAAAGTGAACCCTACGCTTAATGCCTGACTCCACATCACTCCTGGGGGTTCTGCTTCCCCACCAAAACTAACGGGAATACATGAACGTATTTTGCATCAATATCATTTCAATAGTGGAAATCAAAAGACCATTGATTCAATAAACATCAGTGAAAAAATTAGCAAGTAAAATCGGAAAATAGTTTATCTTCATGTCATTCAAAAACTTATTTTTAAAATCCAAAACTATAGGAATATTGGAAAGATATGTTTATAATCCTGGAATACAAAGTACACACATAAAGACTGAAACATCTAAATTTATCAAGATTAAAAACTTTTCAGAGGCAGCTTCGTTTTTCAGGTTTGGCATGGCCTTTTTTTTTTTTTTTTTTTAATAGGCAAATCCTCACTATATTGCCTAGTCTGGCCTTGAACTCCTTGGCTCAAGAGACAGATCCCCCTGCTTCAGCTTCCTGAGTAGCTGGTATGAGAAATACAAAGTCTGGTGGTCCACTTTCAGAATATAGAATTCAGCCTTAATTGGATCCAATTGTAGCCATTTTAAATTATAGCCCTTCCCTTTTGCCTGCCCTAATTTTAAAATTAGCCAATCGCAGAGATTGTACCTTTGAGTCTGCCAATAAGGGTGAAGGGCAGTGCTGTTAGGTATATAAACCAGGGGACTGCCGCCCAGGTGTGCTTGCTAGCCAGGTTCTGTAGCATGCCCTTGTGTCAGAAGTAAATGCCTTGACTGCCTACTTTCCAGCACAGGTGTTTGATTTCTTGGGCACCTTGGTATATCTAACACTGGAACTATAGGTGCACCACCATGCCTGGCATATTGTTAAAAACAAAAAACCTCAGAGAATTGAATTTGAGTCATGACATCCAGCTACATGCTGAAGTTGGGCAAAATTTTCCTGGTGCTGTACATGCACGCATGTGTGTGGGTGTGCAAGAAAGACACAGAGAGACAGAACCATGTGTTTAAACAAAGCATCATGGG